TGGAGGAGTGTTCCTACTGGCCGCATGTCGCTTCAGGGGCCGGCTCTCTCGCAGCCCCAGGTTCTCAAGTGCCGGCTCTAGAAAGCCAGCGGGGGGCTGCTCTTACTTTGCTTGTCTCCTGCCGCGCAGCAGACACAGGTAAGCTAGCCTGCCGCCGGGAGCAGGAGGGTGGGCACAGGTGTCAGGATGGGGAGGGGGTCTGGGCTGTAGGTACCTGAGGGTCCCTCCTCTGCCTCTCATGGAGCAGCCGTGCCCACTGTGTTTGTACCTCGTGGGGGAGGGTGCGGCAGTGGTCCTCGTGTCTGGTTTTCATACCTGTGGTCCTCGTGTCTCCGGCCCCCGTATTTATGAACACCTTGTCTGTGATCCTTGTGTCCGTGGGCACCATGTCTGGACAGCAGTGGGCCCCAACCTCTCCCCGATGCTGACGTGTGTCCCCCTGCCCACAGAGGCGCCAGGAGGAGGGCTACTACAGCCGCCTGGAGGCCGAGCGCCGTCGCCAGCATGAGGAGGCCGAGCGGAAGCTGCTGGAGGCCGAGGAGCCGGGTCTGTGCCGCCCACCGCCGCCGCGGGACTACCAGCCCCAGGGGCCCCCGCTCGCCCCCTGCACACCCCCACCCCCACCACAGCGCCACACCTCCTACCTCAAGACGCAGGCTCTGTCTCCCGACACGCTGTACACGGCCAAGTTTGTGGCGTCCGAGGAGGAGGAGGAGGAGGAGGAGGAGGAGGATGCCAGCCTGGCAGGTCAGGATAAGTACTCCAGCATGAGGAAGTCTTCCGGGGAGCTGCCCCCTGCCGCCCTTCGGCCACCGCCTGCCCGCCCGCCACGCCCCGTCTCGGACGGCGTCTTCCTTTCCACCTCATTCCAGCCACCCTGGGCCAAAGCCAACAGTACTGCCCTGCGAGCAGGCCCACCCCCGCCCCCCAAACCCAGCATCGCTAAAGGTAGAGATGAGCCCTGATGCCCCCAATCACTACGCCTGGCGTCTGATTCCCCGCTGTCCTGTCCCCCCAATCACCACGCCTGGCGTCTGATTTCCCGCTGTCCTGTCCCCCCAATCACCACGCCTGGCGTCTGATTCCCCACTGCCCTGTCCCCCCAATCACCACGCCTGGGGTCTGATTCCCCACTGCCCTGTCCCCCCAATCACCACACCTGGGGTCTGATTCACTTTCCTGAACCCCTGCCCCCCAATCACTGCCCTGGGGTCTGATTCCCCAGACTCTCGGTTTCTGATCAGCTCGCTCGAAGCCGCTCGGAGTACTGTTGGCTTTGGCTCTGCCCCCATCTCTTCCCCCTCCTCACATTGGGTGGGAGCATCCACCCCTCTCCTTTGCCCTAAAGAGGCCATCGCTGCTCGCTGGTCTGCTGTGACTGCATGCTGCCTCTCTGCTCTCTAACCAATCCAGCTGCCTGCTCCAGATGGAACACCACATGGTCTTGGACCTGTAGGGTGGTGGGCGGGGAGGGGGGTCTCGGGAGTACCATTGCTATATACCTGCCCAGACTCGTGGGGCCAGGAACTAAGTCGGAAATGACACTGTCCTGCCCTGCACCCTTACTGAGCCATCCTTCCTCCTGTCACCTTGCCTGTGAGTTCTACACTGGCCACAGCCTTGGGCTCCTATGTGCCGGGCAGAGCCCTCCCTCCTTGCAGGGAGAGAGATGCCCACACAGATGCCACTGCCAGACACACACAGCAGGTGCACAGAAGGGGAGGGAAGAGGAGCCTTGCACGCACCTCCACCAGCCCCATCCAAGACCTGGGGCAACAGTGTGCCCTCCCCAGCTCTGTCTGCCCACCCTGGCGCAGAGCGGGGCTGCTGAAGGTTCCATGTCCAGCTGGTCAGAGAGCCACTGGGAATCTGAGTTCTTGTCAAAGGTCCATGTTCAGAGTCAGGGGTGCACAGTGCAGCCTGTGCCCCGGTCTTGAGGGCACAGCACAGCTGAGTGATGGTGACTGCCCTTCAGCCCCTCACACTCAGACTCTACCTGGGAGCAGGCGGGCCTTCGGGGCCCACATGCTCTTATCCCCTCCCAGCACTGGGTGGGTCTGCCCCATCACGGTAGCCGTTATTGTTTGGGGTGGGGGGAGGTTGAGGCCACACCAGCCCCTTCGGGGCACTTGGGGTAGGCCACAGGAGGCCAGTCAGAAGGGTTGGAGGCGCAAAAGCTACGCAGGTTTGAACAAGGTCTGACAAGTCGGAGTGGTTCTGTGTCCACAGCAGCAGCTGTCATGCCCTGGCGCCTGCTCACAGATCCAGCAGAGGCTCTGTGAGCACGCGAGATGGGCGGGGCCTCAGGCTCTGCCAACGGTGATCCTAACGGTCCTGGACCTGTGTTAGAAAGGCGGCCCCAAAGGCCATCCTGTGGCTTGTCCAGAAAGGAGCATTTCACATAGAAGTGGTTCTCCAGTGCTGTGGCCTGTCTGGCCCAGCACGGACGCCAGGCGGGGTGGGGTGGGGGTAGTGCTAGAGCCGGTCCTGTGTGAGCAGCCCTAATGGCACAGCGGTTAAGTGCTTGGCTGCCAGTGGAAGGTGGGAGGTTTGACATTCCCCCTGCCCCACCCCCAACACTCCCAGCAGCTTCAGAGGAGAAAGCCCTGGAGCCCTGCCACACAGTGGGGGTGGGGGGTTGGGTGCCCAACAAAAAAGACCCTACAAGTGATGTTCAACTGTGCAGGGCCCTGCTCGGTGCTGCCACAGGGACGGGTGCTCGCTGGGTGGGAGCTGTGTCTTGTTCCTGGCCCCAGGAGTAGCGCACAGTCCTTGGCTCAGGCTTGGGACCCTGTATCGCCCTGCGGAGTCATGGTGCTCACATGCGCAGCAGGACTGACCCAGTGGCTTGCTTCCTGCGGTTCTACATGGAGACGCCTCTGACTGTGGTTTCCTCTCTTCTCTCTCTCGGAAAAGGACCAAGCCCACACCCTGGGCCTGCTGGGACAACTGTCGGCACACATGATGCTGGGTGGGACCCCAGAGAGCGCTGGCCTAAGAGGTACTGTGCCAGACTCTCACTGTCTGCGGCACCCTCAGTCCCTTCCGGAGCAGAGCACACGCCGCTGGGTGGAAGGCCATAGCTGACTGTGGGCTATTGGAGCAGCACGTGGGCACTTTTCACTGCTGTTCCCCGAGTCACAAGCAGACATGGGCGTGACACCCAGGGTCGTGCTGGACCCCTAAGGCTAGCACTGCCTGCCAACGGCCAGTCCTCACGGAGATGCCAAGAAGGAAGCAGTGTTGCAGGGAGTTCTCGGAGCTCGGTGGACGGGGACGGGAGAATCTCACATTCCGACGAGATGAGATGTCTCTGTGATTGTTAGGCCCGTGGTTTGAGTTTGGTGGGGTTTTTCTCACAGTCCGTGGGTGTTTATTAAAATGCCCTTTTTTGAAACCCTGATTCCGTAGTTAACTGGCAGGAGTAGCACCCTGGTAGGGAGGACGCCCCTGGGTTTAAGTATAGCTCCAGTCATGCTAGTTATGGGAAGGATGACAGCAATACTGAACAAAGAATAACTACCTCTTGTGAGCGTCTCCCTTAGAAAGAGGACCTGGAAGTAGATGGTTGGTGGTCTCTCTGAATCATGAGCCCAGCGCTCCCATGCTGAGCATTGTGACAAAGATGGGAAGGCAGATTCTGGTCACAAAGGGGGTCGGGGTGGGGGTGGGCGTCCAGAGTCCAGTTTTCTGCAACTATTGCCCTGAAGAAAATCCTTCAGCCATATGTTCCCTGGAGCCATTGCAAAACCACACTTAGCTTCCTGGGTCATGAGTGTGCTGCCTTTATAGAACCGCATGCCGTGCTGAACCAGCGTGTGCATACATGCATGCGTGCATGCGTTGGGCTGAGTGTGTTCTGAATGACACCGAATGGGTTGTTTTTACATCTGAGCTGCTGTGGTGAAATGCTCCCAGCGTGGCAGGTGTGTCCCCTCTGACAGCCCTGTGTGTCTTGTGTGCAGCCACGGCGCGGATCCGCCAGGGCCGTCTGGAGCCCCTGAGAACCTGACCTTCCGAGAGCGCCAGCGCCTCTTCTCGCAAGGCCGAGACGTGTCCAACAAGGTGAAAGCCTCCCGGAAGCTCACCGAGCTGGAGCAGGAGCTCAACACCAAATGAGGGACCCTGAGCCGCGTGGCATGGGGAGGGGTGCGTTGGGCTCAGTGGTTGGCCCTTTCTGTGTCTAAGGGAGAGTTGGGGAGGGTGTGATCCCAAAGCTTTCCTATGCTTCTCAGGCTCGCCAGGGGTACTGGTGCACATTGCCCCTTTCCCAGCATCTGGCACAGAAGCGATGCCTGCTTCTCTAGCTTCTGTCCTGGGGCACGCTGAGCGCGGGCCGGTGTTGAGGTATGACCTCTCCCTCGCCTGCTCGCACCCCAGGACTGAGTGGGGTCACAGACCCGCTTTCTGTCCTTTAAACCACTGCTTTCTGTTAGCTGCCTGTCAGAGACTAGCTGAAACTGCCCAGACTCTGAGCAAGGCCTTTGCAGCAAAGGTCACTGCCCTCCAGGAGAGAGTGTGAGGGGCCCCCTTGCTGACCCCACCCCGCAGCCCCCGCTGAGCCGGCTTGCCTCACTCAGAGTACTGGCTGAGGACTGAGTTTCTGAGATGGGGGGGGGCAGTATTTTTTTAATCAATGCCGGGTTATCTGGACACACGCACCATAGGTGGCCTGAGGGGGGCCAGGGTGGGATAGGAGGTGCATCACACGTGTCCGGGATTCCATGTGCTCCGCGCAGGGACACTGCTCGTGAGAAGGGACATGAGGCCTGAGAAGATGGGACACGTGGAGGACACTTCACATGGAAACGAACTAGATTAACATCCATCCATAATCTTTCAGGGAACCGCAAGGGCTCAATGACATGGTTTTTGTCATAGTATTTTTAGGAGTAACTCGCGGCAGTTCAAGCTGTATCTCGTAGTACGGTAGACTTATTTAATGTCACTTGTTTTATTTCCACGGCCATTGCTTCAACCGAGGGGACTTGGCTGAGGGTGACAAGGGTGGATTGGCTGGTGGGCTATTAGGCTGAGCACACAGCCAGTCGGATGTGGGTCCCCATGATTCTGACCTTGCTGGTCCTCTTACCAACACGTGTCAGAAGTCACACCCTCCACCCAGCAGCAAGGTGGCATCACCTCCTCGTCTATCAGGCCCATTACCTGCGGGTGAGGAAGGACCAACTCCACGTCGCTCCTCAGGAACAAGATGGAGACCAACGGCAAATACAGTGCACACACCCCCACGAGACCCCAGGGGACAAACAGCTGCCCCGGGTTCCACCCAAGGGCAGATGGTGGCTTCCCACCACCCCACCCACCTTGCCATTGGCAGCCAAGCGCTTTGACCACTGTGCCGGCCGGCAGCGCCCCTCCTCTGCCTGCAGGGAGGTGTGGAGTGAGTGGTGCAGCTGGCACCAGGCGGGTTGTCTTTGGACAGTTAGGTCAAATGTGAACATGTGTGAGTGCTTTTTCATAACTGTTTTTCTGGGAAACACCAAACTGCTGTAGTTCCTGTTTCTACTGTACTTCAGTCGCAGCCTATTTTTAATAAACTTTGTATGTATTTAAGTGTACTTGCTATATTCTAATAGTACTGGCAGAGTTTATATTGGTAACATCAGCCCCCTCAACCATCCCTCCGGTCTGGTGAGCGCTAGGTAAGGGCCCTGGTTAGACCCACCTGTAGCATCCTCGCAGGGGGAGCCTAGTCTCCAGTACCTGTACTACCGCGGGGCTGCGGGCTACGTGGACGGCGCCTGCCAGGACGCTTTGCGCGGTGGGAAACGGGCGTTCAGAATGGGGGCGAGTCTGGTGGGTGGAGGAGGGCACCGCGGACACCAGGGCGCAGCGGGAGGTTTTGCTCCCTGAACTGGGCAGGAGGGTCCAGCAGGGATCAGGGAGGGAAACTGTGGGGACCCTCGGTCTAAAGATCCCTGAGCCCCCACCCCCAAGGGGCGGGGCCAGAACGTGCTCGATGGGGGCGGGGCCGCCGTGCCCAAGTCGTGGTTGGCGATGGCGGCAGGGGCGTGGCGGGAGCAACTGCTGCTCGTCCCCAGGCCCTGGAGTCGGGTGAGTTCGCTCTGCGGCGTCCCCTGGGCTCTGGGCTCCCCTGTGCAGCCTGCCCTCTCCAGTCTGTTCCCCGTCACAACACCACACACAGCCAGCCCCCAAAGCCATCCACCACCACGGCTTGCTCTCCCATGACATGCCCCCAGCACCCTGCACCCTAAAAGCCTGCCCTTCTCCATAGCTTCCTCCACAGTCTAGCCCTCCTACAGACCTATCGCCACAGCCTGCCTTGCCATGGCATTACCCCAACACCCTGCACCCCTCACAAAAGGCCTGTTTAAATAGCCTGTTCCCCTACTGCATGCAGTCCACACACAACACACACACACACACACACACACACAGCCTGCCCTCACCCCAAAGGCCTCCACTCACCACAGCCGACCCCCCCATGGAGTCCTTCCATACAGCCTTTAACAGTCTCTACAACCCTTACCCCCATGGCCTTAACCACTGCAGATGGGGGGAGTATCGATTCCTGGGTCCCTCTGGAGCATGGGAAGGGCTCTCTCTGTGCTCCTCTGAGCATCCTGGGCAGTAGGTACCGCCACCCAGCGAGATGGGCCTTCCTAGTGGCACTAGCGTCCTTAGTCTCATTCCCCAGTGCCTGTGTGGGAGGTGGTCTCTCGGGGTCTAGGCCCCCACCCCTTCCCACCTGCCCTTCCCGGGCAGCACTCTGCCTGTGCGAGCTGCCAGCCTGACACCCACTGTGGCCGGAGACTACACACCAAGCTCGTCTCCATGGGAGGGAGACACACCCTGCCCACATGGAACAGGGCAGCCTGGGGCAGTCAGGGTGGCACCCTCTCCCCACAGGCATTCAGTCTGTGTGCTGAGCAAGTCATCAGAGAAGCAGGGTTCTATGAAGAAGAGGCAGACTTGGTAACAACCTGTGCTGTGCAGATGACACAAGTGTGGTGGCTGACAGTGAGGAGGACCCAGGTCCTCACCACTGGACCAGTGCACAGCATCGAGACAGAGAAGATTGACGAGGGAAATAGAGGCACCCCTGGGTGGTGTGTGCTGTCGCTGCAGGCGAGGGCCAAGACACGGGTGCAGGAGGGGCAGCCCCCCAGGTGGCCCCAGATGCTCATCTGGGGCAGCAGACACCCTGCTGGAGGCAGGGTGGCAGGGGTGAGGCCAGTGAGCCCAGCCAGGATGTGTACTGGGGCTCTCCATCTCTAGGGTGAAGATTTTTTTTTAAATCATTTTATTGGGGGGGTCGTACAACTCTTATCACAGTCGATAAATACATCCACTGTGTCAAGCACATTTGTGCATTTGTTGTACATCATCATCCTCCAAACATTTTCTTTCTTGAGCCCTTGGTATCAGCTCCTCATTGTCCCCTTCCTTCCCACCCTCCCTCCTCACAAACCCTTGATAAGTTATAATTTTTTTTTCATGTCTTCCACTCCCATCACCCACTTTTCTGTTGTCCGTCCCCCAAGGAGGGGGTTATATGCAAATCATTGTGATGGGTTCCCCATTTCTCCACACACACACCCTTCCCCTCCTGCTATCTCTACTTTCATTGTTGGTCCCGAGAGGTTAATCTGTCCTGGATTCCCTGTGTTTCCAGCTCTGATGTGTACCAGTGTACATCCTCTGGTCTAGCCGGATTTGTAAAGTAGAATTGGGATCATGATAGTCGGGGGAAGGAAGCATTTAGGAACTAGAGGAAAGTTGTATGTTTCATTATTGCTACACTGCACCCTGACTGGCTCTTCTCCCTGTGACCTTTCCTTAAGGGGATGTCCAGTTGCCTACAGATGGGCTCTGGGTCTCTACTGCACTCCCCCTCATTCACAAGGATATGATTTTTTGTTCTTTGATGCCTGATAATCTGATCCCTTCAACACCTCGTGATCCCACAGGCTGGTGTGCTTCCATGTGGGCTTTGTTGCTTCTCAGCTAGACGGCTGTTTGTTTATCTTCAAGCCTTTAGGAGGGTGAAGATCTTAAGAGGATTTTAAGGAGGGAGGGGGGCGGTTGCCAGGAGGGAACACGTGACTACCAGGAAGCAACATGTGACCAGACACTCGTGATGTGAGGTGAGAATGGGCATGGTGGGCCCAGTGCGGGGGCTGCTGCCGGGCAGCAGTGTGAGACATTCCATGGACCCAAACCCCAAAGGTGTCGATTCCAACCCTGTAGAACAGAGCAGGGCTGCCCCACGGGGACAGGGACACGCAGATGCCACCACGTTTTCCCCAGAGCAGCTGGTGGGTTCAAACTGCCCACCCTTTCATGAGCAGCCCAAGACCCAGGATGCACCCCCAGGAGCTGGGGGCTTCTCTGGATGTTGTCCAGACAGGCTCAGCAAAGGAGACACTGGTTCACGTCAACAAACCTTGCTAAGAACCGGGAGGGTCTGTGGTCCATTCCCTCCCATCACCCCAGCCAGAGTGCAGCAAATGTGGCCAAGAAGAGGGCTCCCTCTCCCCAGCTTTCTCCTTAGGGGGTCCTTGATCTCGGAGCAGAAGAGGCTAGATTCCTGGTTAGTATGTTTCTGGTTAGAGGTCTCCCTCCACCCACCAAGGACAGCAGGCCCTACATCTGGGAATCCTGCTTGCCCTCCCTCCAGTTCAGCTGAAGGTCAGAACTTTCAAAGTGGGACAGTGATTCTGCAAAGACCAGGAGCCCTGCCTTGGATGTTTCCCCCAAGGGGAGAACAGTCCACAAGAGAAGATAGCTCTGATGCCCCCCTCCCCCAACCGCAGCTGAAGCTGTGCGAGGCCACCGCAGGGTGCAGGCGGTGTCTAAAGGAGTGTGGTGGTGTAGGAGTTACACATTGGGCTGCTAACCACAAGGCCAGCAGTTCAAACCCACCAGCTACTCTGTAGGAGAAAGCTGAGGCAATCTGCCTCCATTAAGATTGACGGCCTTGGCAGCTGGGGCGTTCCACTCTGTCCTGGGGTCACTCTGAGTTGGGGCGGATCTGCAGGCAATGGGCATCACAAGTAACACTGCGGTCGCAGCACTGCCAGGTGGCAAGGTGGGCAGCCCCATGTGTGTCAGGGCAGCCATGCTCCACAGACTCTTGGAAGCCAATCACCAGGTCTTCTCGTTGGCTCAAACCTCCAACTTCCCAGTTAGCGCTGTGCACACAAAGCATTTCTGCCACCAGGGGACCCCGTCGAAATATCGACCCCGTCGAAAGCCACAGCTCCGTTGCGGAGCAACAAGCTAAGCCATCAGCTAACAAGCTCATGAGAGGACTGTGGGGAGAGGGAAACCTGTGAGGTTGGAAGAAGGACAAAGAAGCCCTCCAAGAGCAAGGCCAAGCTCAACACGTCTCACTCTGATGTCATCATGAAGAGTATGCTTAGGGCCCCGCTTAAAAATGATACCGATGTCAACGGATAACCTGCAGTGCTGGGAGGCAGCAGTGGCGCAGGGAAAGCAGACCGCCGGGCAGAGTGATCAGGAAAGAGTGTAAAAGAGGATCCTGCCGAGGCCACTAACTGTCCAAGCTTGCCTGCATGGTGTGACACCAACGCCTTCATGGGTGGAGGATATTGCTGGCATTCACACCGGCTAGCTGAGCCACTGGACAGACCCGCACACCGCACCAGGAACCAGCCACAGACCTGGCAGAGGGGGATCAGTATCCAGAGCTGCTACACGTTACCTAAAAGGTCCAGACATCAACCAAAAATCGCAAGACATGCAAAGAATCAAACACTTGAGACTAGCACACAGGTAAAAAAACAGCAGACAGCAATAAAAAGTAATGAATTAGAACGTGCATTGAGATGCAGGAAAATAAAGACAGCATACAAATGCTTAGGTCATTCGTGCATAAAAGGCAATATTTAGAGGGGCAAAAGTCAGGTGCAAATCAGGAAGGGAACCTTTTCCTAGGCTCTTTAGAAGCAAGGAGGATGAAAGTTCACCTTCCATTCCTAGAGCATGTCATCGGGAGGGACCCGCTCCTGCAGAACTATCTAGTGCTTGGTGAGGTAGAGGGTTAGTAAGGAAAGAGGAAAACCTTTAACGGGATGGAGTGACATGTAGCTGGGATCATGGGCTTAAGCACAGTGGGGGTATGAGCACGACTGAGGACTGGGCAGTGGTTCGTTCTGATGCATCATTGGAATAGACATACTTAGTAACTGGCAGAACCCCCATATTGGATCCCTGAAATGTGGAATAAGGGCTATCATGGTAGGAAAGGCCAAGTG